TTTGACAAGTTATTTTCTGAGATAGCCTTAAACCCCAGGAACATTGGTTAGGGGGCTTTAGTGAAAGTGAAACTGAATGGAAATAGCAGATTTCAAAATGAGAAATGCACTTTATTACCCTAAAAGTGTGTAGTCTATTATGTGAATATGATTGAGAGCATGATAAATTTCAAATTGAGCTCAGGAAAAAAAGTTATTTTCTAGTTTGGGGTTGGGGTGGGGTAACTGGCATTAGCTAATCCTATTCCAAATCAAGACAAAGAGAGCTAAACAAAGTGGGAAGGGTTCAATGACTGTCATATAGGTATAATGCAGAAATTGAAAAAGAGTTCTGGGTATTTAAATGCCATAGTAAGAAGGGCTCTACCAATGCCTTTTTGGTAGGAAAAGCAAAGCAAAAATTTAACCCCCTCTTGTTCGTCCATAATTCACCCATGAAAACAGCATGAAAGAATTGTTTGCTGAAATACCCACCCCGATTTCATCACATGGTATGAGGTATGAGGCTGAGGCTGGTGGGGCACTACCCCATTTACACTAATAGACAGCCTCCACATTATATGCTTAAATCCTGTAGTCCCCCAAAACATCTGGGCTGCTGCATCTGTACTAGTTGCAAGCCTTTGCTGATATCCCACTACTGTGCTGGCATTTTGGTTGTGATCTGTTCCTGCTGCCAATATGGGGTTTTTTTTTGGCAGAGGGAGAGAAAAGTTGCTAAATGAATGGAAAAGCTTTCATTGCTAGGGAATGAAATATGAAGATCCCTGACAGTACAGTGATGAAAATGGTGGCTGCTTACTTGGTCATCGTCTGATCTTCCTCAAGGTCTGCACCGCAATTTGTGGAATAGCACTGACAAACCAAGGAATGGATCTTATTACCAGCGTAACCAGTCTTGGCATATGGCTATAATTATACTGTGTTTTGTGTTGTGCAATTTTTGCACTTAACAGTACTCCCTATGACCTAAATGATTTTAGAATCCCATTACATTGCAGAAACTTCAGTTTCCCCAAAAGCATAAAGTCTCTTTATCTATCTATTAAATGTTGATTTGAAAGTTATTGTTTCACAGGATTAATACAAATGTCTAAAAAGTAAATGACATAGTAAAAGGGCAGTAACATTTTAAAGGTCATTTTATTGTCTTTGCATCTCTTTCTAAAATCATTAGTATTCGTTTTCAGCAGGGGTTTTTTTTAAACACACACACCATCACGCTAGACAATTTCCCATTATGTTCACAAAAATGAATACAGGGTAGATACTATACTAACACAATGACTGTAATCTACTAATACAATAAGTTCTTCAAACTATGTTTAAACAAGAACTCTGTCCTTGATTATTTCAACTTATTTCCAAAACACTATCTAAAATGAAGAAAATTAATATTTCCCCCCCAGATTTTTGAGTGAAAGGAACTTTGGATTCATTCCTTGCCACCTACTGTCAAGAGCATCTAGTGATGAGTGGTTATTTAGTTAATTTATCTTAAATATACATTTTAACATCAGGATTATATAATTTGTCGCCTTTTGTGCAAATAAGTGCATATGTAAATTGCAAATAACATTTATTTCTATCTAACTGTGAAGTCACCAAGCACTGTTCCAGTCAACCCGTTGACAAGACAGAAATTGCTTAGTGTGAAGTTTTAAAGAAATCCAGAATATATCTGACCAAATTACCTGACTTTGTCAAGTTTGTAATAATATAACAAGTAAAATGAACTCAACTGTGATCCTTATGATATCAAAACTTTTTTTGCTCAGATTATCAACATTTCTTTGTGGAACAAGAAACAGAGGGGAAAGATGGATGGGTAGGGATGGTCAAAATTCTCATATGATTTCAGAGGAACATATAATGGTGGAGAGAGGAGACTGAGCAGCCATGCTTCAGAAGCACTCTGCTTACCAGTCCTGTGGGTTGGATAACTACTGTGAATGAGACAGAAAGAATCAGAAGTTTTACAAGAACAACGAAGGTTACCTCCAGACTATTAAAGCTATCTCCAGGCATTGTTAGTGGGTGGTTCCCTAGACTGGATGGATGGGAGGTGGCCTGTTGAGGTACGTAGCTTGGGGTACTCCAGAATCCTTTGCTGTCACTTGAGGCTCAGATGGCCTCAGTGGTGTGGAGTGCCTTCCATCACTTTTGACTGATGGCCCAGCTGCCCCCCTATCTGGACCATAGGCACCAATTCTATGGCGCCTTGGTCCCTTTGCCCCCTCCAATAAAATATTGAAGGGGGCTGGACCCCTCAATATTTTCTACAAGTTGGCACCTCCCTCTCTCCTCCCTTCCTTGGGCAGCCACCTCCCCCCAGCTGGGCACCACCCTCTTTTCCCAGATTGCCTCCTAGGTTTGGTACCATTTTCAGGTGTTTCTAAGCCAAGGCATGTGGGGAAAGGCAGGCAGGCAGGCAGGCAGTCTGAACAGTAGGAGAGGCGAGTGGTTGGCAGGTGAGGTAGGGAGGAGAGGCGAGTGAGCAGGCAGAAACTTCTTGAGCACAGGCAGGGGGTGAGAGGTGAGCAGGTGGGGGAAAGGGGGGAGGGAGACCTGCCCTTAGTTGCATGTGACGGAGGAAGGTGCTCTCTGCAGAAGTGCAGGGAGTGGGGAGAAGTGGGGGTGGGGGCCCCTGCTTCATCCACCTGCTTCGTCCACCTTTGAATCTCTCCCTGTCAGTCTGGTAGCATTCCTCTGCTCTGATACACCTACTAGCCAATAATTATTATTTTTATTATCTGCTGGAGATTTCATCAGATAAAAATGACAGGGATGGGACAAAGCCTGGATGTTTCGATTTCTCAGAAGATGTTAGGAAACTATCTTATGCCACTAGTCCATCTACATCAGCATTGTCTATATTGACTGGCAGTGGTTCTCAACAGGTATCTTTCCTAAGTGGAGATGCAAGAGGTTAAACCTAGAACTCTTTGCATGAATATGTATTGTGTCATTGGGCAACAACCCGTCCATAAAGCACCAATATGACACATATGACAATATGACACAGCTGTAAATGAAGCAATTCTAGTTCCAGTTTAACACCATTGTCTGCATGACTGCCTTTTATTTTGTAGAACCATTTCCTTAGTTGTTCCCCCACCCAGTTTTCCCTTTGTTTTTGTTTTTTTGCCAAGCAGGCCAAATAGACATGATATGTTGTTGTTGTTGGTGGTGGCATCAGTCTGTCTTGAGAGACAATGGAGTGCACCTCTAGGGGTAAAGACAAACCACTGTGTTATCAGCACCGAAGTGACCTCTCTGGAGCACAAGCCTGGGCAGTGTGTGTGGAGGTCCTGGGCTGCCCAGACAATAAGATCCACTCTCAGCCTCACTGATGTGGTCCAAAGGAATACGTTTGGCAGTAGCTTGGCTGTAGCTGCCAGAAGGAGGTGTACCATCCAGCCATCTTAGGGACTCTACTCCAGATTTGTGTAGGGTTTACTCCTTAGCTTTTTCATCTTCTGAAGGCAGTGGAGGTTTAGGATCAGAGTTTTCATTTTCCTATATGGACTGTAGTGAGTGCTAAATAAGCATGTTGCCCAGTAGCAACAGCACCACCATAGGCATGATCAACTCTCATTTTTTCCCCTTGTTGAAAAATGTGGTCTGGTTTGCTAATGTTCTTTTGTGTATCACACACTCTGCTACGGCGCAGGTGGGTGGATTAAAGTGCATACTGGCACAGATGTATGATTTGCACAACACCCTGCCTTTTTATAGTTTGTGGCATTAAAATTTCCAGTAGCAGCATTAATAACTCCACAGCCTGTGCTTTAATTACGGTGCTTTGTTTTGTGTTTGGGAGAATTCATGGCACATGACTCTTTCACTCATATAAATGATTGTTTGAATGAATACCAAGACCAGAATTTTAAATGAGAAAGGATGTTAGCTCTACTGACTTCAATAAATAGATCAGACGCCAAGCATTTAAGATACGTGGACTACTGTTGTGGCCAATTTGAACTAACAATTGTATGTTTCTGTGTATGTATTGAACTGGTGGGTCCAGAGTGTGGCGAATGTGTCATTAAGTGCCTGCTACCTTTAAAGCGGAGGTTGTGCAACTGTTTCTGAAAAGACCACCCTGGATGCAGAAGCATTTGACAATTGCCTCCTATTTACTCTCTTTTGGAAGAAAGTGCTTGAGAGGGTAGTGGTGGCCCAACTTTAGGGACTCTTGAAGGAAACCAATTATTTGGACCCATTAGCTAACTGGCCGCTCCTGGTGGTGATGGCAACGATGTTTTGAACATCACCAATGCAAAAGGCAGCCTGTAAAAGTTCTTAAAGCTCTCTCGGCTGTCTTCACCAGTTGATTTTTTAATTTCTTTTCTTCTCTGCTTCATCATCATCGCACCTCCTGAATTTCACCCTTAAAAACAACAACACCGGTCCTCATTTTTTAATTTCGGGGGTGAAATGTATCGAAAAGAAGCTGCTTTCTTTATCTGAATGGTTTACACCAGCTCCGCTGTCACTTTCACCTCACGCCTGAAAGGCTATAGAAACGAAACCCGGAAGTTTTGTGAGAAAGCTATTAGGACTGCAGCCTTTGGATCGACAAACCCCACCCCTCCCCGCTTCGGCGGATGGTTGCTATGGGGACCGCCGAGCCGAGGAGCGCGGATTGGCTGAGGGGCGGAGCCAGTTCTTTCGAGGGCGGGCTGTGCGAGGGAGTTTCAAGATGGCCGCGATGTAAACAAGTGCGGGGGGTAAGTGAGGCGAGAAGAGTGAGGCGCCGGCGGCGGTTCTTCTCCGGCCTGTACGACGTTATTGGGGCAGAGTTTTTGAAGGGAGGCCGGGGGAGCTTTCCTCCTCAGGTTGGCCGAGGGAGGCTGTGAGCTCTTCCTCTCTCCAGTCGCAGGTTTACGCCCTTAGTAGAAGTCCCATAGAGTTCAGTAGGGTGTGCTCCCAGGTAAGGGAGGTGGGCGATTGTGAAGCTTGCCTTGCTTACGAGTAGTATGCTGCCAATAAAACGGGTGCTTTTTTCTCCCATGCCAGTCCCTTTTCTTGCACTTTAATGACAAGGCAGTGCAAATCGCCAGCACCGAAGATCGCGCCAGGCAGGAGGAGCCCCATAACGGCACCTGCCCTTCTCGAAGGTAGCTTTGTGGTTTTACTTCCAGCCCTGTACAAAGGGCATGGAAACTCTCGTGAATCGATCGCCACAGTCTTAACCGGGCTCCTAGAATAACGTATTTCACAGGACTGCAGAGAGAGGTGCTGCATAGAAGATGCAACCCTGAGCTGTGCCTGTTAGATAGGAGATGGGGAATCTGGTCCTCCAGATGTTTAGTATTTATTTATTTATTGAATTTATATACCGCCCTATACCTGGGAATCTCAGGGCAGTTCATAGAATAAAATCAAGATATAAAACCACAAAATACCTAATAAAACTAAAAACAAGAACCCAATAGCACCCCCCCCCCATTTTAAAAGGGCATAGGATGTCAATCAGATCAACCAAAGGCCTGGTTAAAAAGGAATGGTTTTGCCCGGCGCCTAAAGGTTTATAATGAAGGCGCCAGACGAACTTCCCTGGGGAGAGCATTCCACAGATCGGAAGCCACTGCAGAGAAGGCCCATTTTCATGTTGCCACCCTCCGGACCTCTTGAGGAGGAGGTACACGAAGGAGAATGTTGGGACTAGCATGGCCAAGGCTCAAGGATGGTGAAAGCTGCAGCCAAGCTACATCTGGAATGTTAAGAGGTTCCTCCACCCCAGATTAGGCCAAGATTAGATGCTGAATCTATGGCAGGAAATGTTTTTATTTTATTTTATTTTGCAAGTTTTAAAGAACAGCTAGTTGTTACAGCTCCATTCTTAAGCTTAAAATCCTGTCTTATAGCTGGGGAACTCTGAAGTTCAGAGAGATACAGCTTGACATGGATCAGGGAAAATAATCGTACAGAGGATAGTAACTTAGCTACAGTCCTAACCTCATTTACCTGGGAGTAAGTCCCATTGAATTCTGAGTTAGGAAATGGTCATGATTGGTCTGTTAGTTTAAGTACAGCTCCTTCAGCAAGAAAACCAGGCCCTGTGCGTTTTTATTGAGAGGTGAACCTCGCTGGCTTCAGTAGGCCTTACTCCTAAGGAACGGTGTACAGTATATGATTGCACAGAATCCAACATATTAAGACATAGTAGAGAGTAAAATGAACTTCAGACAGCACAGATATCTACGTATACTTCCAACATTTTACAGATACAAATTAGAATACTCCTGAATATAAGTGTGTGACACCAGAGACTGAGAATCTGCAGCAGAGTGCCTTTTCTTCATCATATTACAGGAAATAAAAACATAAACATGGTGTTTATTTCATAGAATTTATATACTGCTTGATTATTAGCACCCTCAAAGTCATTTACAAAAAGATAAAATGAGAAAATCAAGAAAAAAATTACATGCAGCAGAAGTGGAAAATGCAAAATCTGTGCTGGGGATTATTAGGAAATGGAATGAAAATAACTGGTTTATCATATCTGCTGTTGATGACCTTCATCTGATGCCAAGTAGAGTGGCCTACAACCTGCCATTCATCACAGAGTTGGCATCTTGATAGAGCCGAAGGGAGAAGCCACCAAGAAGCCCAGGGAAGGCTGCTGTGTAGACAGTGCCCTGACTTATGAAAGCCACCTGAGAATGGGCAGTCCCCAAACATCTAATGGAAAAAATGAGGGCCATTTGTACTATGCACAGCTTTGTGCTCTGTTTTTAAGGCTGGGGTGGGTGGCTGCTCAGAAGGAAACAGCTCTCATCCTTCTCCTGGTATCAGATCCCTAGAAAACCATGAGGAAGAAGATCAGGGTGGCTTTATAATCCTGTTCCCAACTGGCAAAAGGGAGCATTGAGTGGCAGACAGAGAGTAGTGTCCCTGGGCAGGACAGGATACAGTTAGCAGCATACCCTGCCAAACCTGGCTTATTTGCAAATCTGTTTGTGACCACATTTGGAATACTGTTTTTTCACCCAATCTCGAAAAACATACCCAAATGAAGAAAGTTTAAAGCATCTGATCTAATCCTGGGGTCCCCAGTGCTGCACCAGTGGGCAGTCTCATGTCACTACTATAAGTATATTTGACTTATGGGTCTTTTCTTTTGCCCTTACACATGTGCCACTGCCATACACCCCTGCCCCGGTATCATACAGTTATGGATTATGGCTGCCAGACCTTGCCAAAACACATCATCATAATATACATATAAAACCACTGCTCAGTGTAGTTGCATAAACTGCCTGTTTGATAAACAGTAAGATGTTGGACATTAATTCTAATAAGCCTGTGTAAGCCACTTAAAACTTCAAATAAAAAAATGATTATTTTTGTAATATTGTATTTTTCTAATTCTCTTTTTATGTCCAAAGATTTGTTTTCACATTCTGTTTCCTTGGATCTTAGAAAATCTGAATTCACTTTGACATTGATGAATGAATAGTTAAGAAGCAAGATGCACAAGAAGTTCTGACTCTGTTTTCATTGCTGCTGAAGAGACAGCAAAAGCCCTAAAGACATTTTAAATAACTTTGTTAAAGATTTTTCCACAGTGATAATGTGTATGTTATCTTTCATTATGTACCTAGAGATGTGGAGTGGACTGTTACCTCCTGGTGTGAATGAAAGTGATGTTGACACGAGTTCTGATGATGAAGGAACATGGGATGGGCCCATCTTAAAAGAGAAAAGAGAACAAAAGGATTTGAAAGGTGTTCTGTCTTCTGGCTCTGAGATTCAGGAACCTGAAAGTATCACTGAAGGCAATCCTTTTACAGCAGTGGCAGATGAAGGACAGGAATTCCAAACATGTCCTTCTGGAGTTTCATTAGATATGTGGAAAGTAGGTATGATTACAACTCTGCACATGACTGATACTGTGTTTGGTGTAGTGGCTCTTGTAGCTGATGTTTACGTAGGTAATCATTTTTGAAAGAACAGGTTGAAACAAGAAGTAAAATTATGTTAAATTGAACACAGTCTCCATATTAAGCTTCTTCACCTATGGAGAAGAAACTTCTGGGTTTTGTTTTAATATCATTGTCCAAAAGGTTGCTCACTTAAATAGGAATGGAGGGAGGTGTGATGATTTCTCAAGATGTGTGCTGGTGTTACCATGGTTTATCAAGTTCTGGTTTTGCGTCTGGAAATCATGTATGGAAACTTGAGGCTTGATTTAGTAAGCAGGTTTGGCTACTGTCTGTTGATCTTTATCAAAGTTTCCTAAAATGCACACTCTGCCATCTCCTTTGCTATATCTTCCAGCAATTATAACCTGACCATCCTTGAGTATTCGTACTTTGTTTTTCAACATATTTCATATTATTTTATATTTTCTCCAAGTCCAGAAAACAGCTCAAGCAATTCTGCATGTCCAAATGGATTTGGGAATTAGGTATTTGAAGCAGCTGCCCCTCATGCCATATAATGAACACTTTTCACACTGGGAGGGGTTCAGAAGCAGTTTGTGATATGGCATGGTGAGGCAGTCTGTTTTTCAAAGAAAAAAAAGTAAATCTCCTTGACTATGCCCAAACCTTTAGGTATGCTAAGGGATCTTTTTGGGTTCCAGCCTTTATGCAGAAGGTTGAAATTGACTCCAAAAAATATGCCTGCATAGTTAATTCAGGAAGTGGAATAAATCACATAGAGATCTGTGTAGACTGCCAGTGTAGTCCTGAGGCTTCTTGCATGTGTTGAAGCTGAGTTAACTGCATAGAGATGCTGTGCATGTATTGTTTTTCCTTTTCACTGCCATGTCATTAACAGCATACACATTTCCCTTGCACTCATGCAGCAGCTACCATGAACAAGGAAGTCCATGTTGCTTGGGAGTTCCCTGTCCATTTTAGGGTCTGCGGGCTCTGATCCTTGCCATTTTGGACCTTTGAATGCAGCTTGCTTCTATCGAGAGTGTTTTATACAGTAGATTTCTGAAATAAGTTGATTTTGTACATTCAGTGACTTCACTGTAAAAGCAAACAAAAGAACACAGTGTTTCTCAGTATGTGTTTTTCTCTTTCAACAGAAATTTCAGAGCCTGCAAAAGAAAAACTTTGAAATGAAAATCCAAGTCAGTCAGAGTGGCAGGAGGGGAAAGAGAAAGCATTCCAGAAAAGGTGTTCTGCTTTATTAACAGAAGTCTTGGGAAATGTTGTTGTTTAATAGCTGAAAACATTGTGCTTAATTGAGTCCAAAAATGGTTAAAGCACGGATAAGGTGGCGGTAGTGACAACGCATACGTTGTGGAATATTGAACTTGAGGATTTTTCTATAATTTGGTTGTGATTCAGAGGTATAAAACATAAATAACATTATTTGTTATGGTCAGGATCCAGAGAACACAACTAGTTCCAGGTATCCAAAGGACATCTTTCCAGAACAGCAGCGCACATGCCACAAGCAGATTATTAAATCTGAGAGCAATTTTAAAAGCAGTTTGTAGTAAGGCAGGAGGGACTATACTTCAAAGAAAATGCCAAAGGCCTTTGGGCATGTCAGAAATAGCTCTTTGAATCTTGGCCCATTTATGTAGTGCTGCTGTACAGTGTTTGTCATTTATTCTTTCTGCGACCGCATTACATAGGTCATTCTAGTTTTATTGGAGAACCAAAGTGAGAGAGAGTGACTTGCCCACAGACTCCCAGTTGACTGAGCAGGGATTTAATTTCAAGTTTGGGTCTTGTACACTACTCCTAATTAAACCCCAGTGGTTCTCATGTGTATTTTTATTCGTAGGCAATTCAGCATTTTAATTATTAATGCCTTTTCAGGGTGGCATTTGAACTAGCGCTTAGGTTTTTGTAGATTACTATGTGATTCAGCTCTCCAAACCTCTGTGCCCAAACCATCCTACTAAGCTTAGTTGTCTCCATCATAATTATTCTCTGTGGGAAAACTGGTTTATGCTCACATCTTGCCCCTTTGAAATCATACCTTTATGCATTAAAAAGCACTCTGTTGGAGGAACTAGGCAGCAGCATGATGGCAGAATTGATGTGCTGATTGGGGAAACGAAGAAACTTAGTCCATGTACCACCACCACCACCAGGGAGATGTCTTTGGGTTAGGGCTGGTACACTGAGACATGTTTAACTGAAGCCAGTAGAACTGACTTCTACATAAATCATTTGGATCTGAGTATGAAGGGGTTGTATAGATCAGTAAGAATAACATCAAATAGTTATTTTGTACCGCAGTAAGAATAATATCAAATAGTTATTTTGTACCACAGTAACAATACTATCAAATAGTTATTTTGTACCACAGTAATTATACATGTAAGTTCCACAGTTGACTAGAGCTTATTCTCAGTTGTGTATGCTTTGGATATCTATTTAAGATACAGTGGTACCTTGGTTGTTGAACTTAATCCATTCTGGGAGTCCGTTCAACTCCTGGAACCATTCAAAAACCAAGGTGTGCCTTCTGATTGGCTGCAGGAGCTTCCTACACTCAATCGGAAGCCACAGAAACCACGTCTGGAGTCCAGCTTTCAAAAAATGTTTACAAACCAGAACACTTACTTCCGGGTTTGCGGCGTTTGGGAGCCGATTTGTTCAGGAGCCAAGCGTTCAACAACCAAGGTACCACTGTACAATGAGAACAGTACAGTCTCAATCCAGTCTGATGCAGTTGTAGCACTATATACAGGGGGATTCCAGTGGAATATAAGACAATCCTGTTCTCCTCCCCTCTCTCCACAGCATGCACGTACAGCTACTCAGACCAAACTGTTTGTTATATGCGTATTGGAGGTGTGTATAGACCTCCAATTCCCTGTAAAATCAGACACATTCCAGCACATTGCTATGGATGTATGTGCACCTCTGTAGAAAAGGGAGAAATGAGATTATATTGTGCTCTGTGACAGGGGTGACCGTCCAGCCCCCTGGGGGGGGGGAGGCATCAGCTATTTTTTCTGACCTTAGTGAACCTTCTTCCTACTTGCCACTGTGCTAGAACCACTGTTCGCTGTAAAAAAACATTTGTGGGTGTTACCAGAAGTGCATAGAATAGTTGCTGCACTGCCTCTTTCTTATTGAGTGCACTTCCACCACACTTACCTCTGCCTATTAACCTCTGCCCTTGGTGCTTCCTGTAGCTTTGCTCCCAAAGAGATGTGATCTCTGACTGGAGCAGCCAAAGCATGAAATGACAGGAAGCCAATCAGATATGAGCTGTGATGGGAGCAGCCAAAAGCCAACAGCAGAGGGAGAGCCAGAGGTTGCCTGAAGCAATGAGCAGAGGGAGAATTTGTGAAAGATTGCCTGTTTAGAAATGTTGCAATATTGGTTCCAGAGACGCTCTCCTTATGTGAAAATATGAGATCATTCCATCAGACTGTGTAAGAAAATTAATGATTTGGCAGATGATAATAGTTGTATTGGAATTTGTTTTCTGTTCATCAGCAATTGATGAGACAACTGACATAGCCAACACTGGCCAGTGGCAATTTTGTGCATGGAAATCTCATCAGATTTTGAAACTAGAGAGGACTTGCTCGTTTTGTGGCAGCAATGAGTGATGCTGCCAAAGGAGAAGATACCTTTCAGAAAGTTATGTCTGCAGTCCAATAGATGGAAGCTGATGTTTAACAACCTTAGTGGCCTTGCCATAGATAGAGCACCAACCATGGCGAGAACTCAGAAAGGATTGTTTGCCCTTATAAAGAAAGTAATAGAGTGCTATAGTGGTGACACAGGTGAGTTAATTGTGTGTCACTTCATTACTCACTAGGAGAACTTGTGCACAAAACTTGCATCTGAGATGTGTGATAACAACAGTGTTTCATGTATTAAATTTACTAAAAGTCAGAGTGAACAGGAATTTATAACAAATACAATAACTTAAAGTACTTTCTTTCTTCAGGTAAATTAAAAAAGAAAAATGAAGAAACAACTGAAAGGTATTTAAGAACTTTCTGTGATTTTAAATTTATTTTACAAGTATAATGAAATAAACATAACGTAGTACAGTGAATTTTACTTTTGTGCCTTCAGTATATGAGGGATTATGGCCTATCTAATCAAAATATATGTACATATTTATATTTAGTGATATCAGGCTAGACTTCCTTAGTTAAGATGCCCTTGTATATCAAAAGTTCAAAAGTAACAAATCTTGATTACAATCTAACTATGTAAAAATTTCAAAATATCAAATGTGTAGAAGCAGCGTTTTATTCTAAATACGTTCTTTAACAGGACGTTTTAATACATGTTTCAATAATGCGTGTTTCTTTTCAAATGAAATAATAATCTCCTGAAAATGTTTTTTCCCCTTTGTAGCCCACAATCAATAAAAGAAAGCCCGTTGGAAGAGCTTACTAAGTATTTTGGAATCAATGATAGGTTTAAATCAATTTCAAGCAAGGAAGCCCCTCCAAAGGTGACTTACTATACCAAACTCCTAACTTTAATATGTATACTTTGTTATTTTCTGAATAAAAAAATAGGCATAACTTACTCATACCTTTGATATGCTTTCTTCCAAAGTTACTTTCTGAAGAGCATTTCTCTCTTTCTCTGGAATGTTATATTTGCCACTTGTGTTTTCCAAGCAATTGTTCACATCAAGCAAATACAATAGTACCTTGGTTTACAACCATAATCTGTTCCGGAGGTCCGGTTGTAAACCAAAACAGGTTGTAACCCAAGGCGCGCTTTTGCCAATGCCCCCCCCAATTGGTTGTAATCCAAAAAAAAGACACGCACTTTTGGGTTTGACGTGGTTGTAATCCAAAGCGGTTGTAATCCAAAGCGGTTGCAAACCAAGGTACCACTGTATCACAAAACACTTTTTAAAAAAATGTTCTTCATTATGGTATTTGTCCAGCTGCTGGAGTTGAAGTCTACCTTACAACTGCACCCTCTGGCCTGGAAACCTTTGTTTCCCAATCCTAGGTTAAGTGAGACGCTGTGGTTACTGTATCTAAAGACTGTCAGCAGTCAGCAGTGTTTCATAGATGCGCTTCAGATGTATTGTAGAGGAGATGTTGGTGTTGCTTTAAGTATTTGTGAGTCAACCAAGATTCAGACTGAAATTACAGAAAAGCAGAAAGATCTCCATCTTCATACAAAAACAAACAAACAAACAAACAAACACCAATATTTTTTTCTTACAGAATAGTTCTTTACAGTGCTATCTTATAAATGTCTCCCCACAAGTAAGTCCCATTTAGATAAACGGAGCTTGCTCCCAGAGAAATGGATATAATATTGAAATCAATGGGACTAAAGCATACTTAACCTCCTCTCGATCCAGCCCATCTATGGCCAAAGAACTTTGTTCCATTTGGTGTGTTTGGAATGGGAGTGTAAGACTTTGAGTCAAGCTGCCCTGGTAATAAATAACACTTTACTTTCTGCTAGCCTTACATTATTTGTGTTGCATCTTACAAAAGCCCTAGAATGTTTATTAATGATCAGTAACAAATTATTTGTTTTCTGCTAGCAATAGATAACAAAATAGATGGAGTGACTAGCAAATGTATGTAAAAATAAATGTAAGCAAACTGAGATGCAGTGAATATCTTCTTAATTGGAAGATGACATTCTTCTAGTAAAGTCTTGACACATCAACTTGTAATCAGCATTCTATTTCCTTCCCCTCCCCTCAGATATATTACAAATAGAGTGTTCAAGAAAGATGAACCTAGAGTTTCAGGGCAGAAATCTATTACATTATTATTATTGCATTCATTAGTGGGCCTTCATTTGTAAATGTTAACTCAAGACAAGTTAGGATTTGCCTGTGTTATTAAGGCTCATTCTTATTGCTTGTTTTTAGAGATTAAAAATGTAGTCCTCTCTTCCTTTATAGTTGACAATTTGCAGGCTTGGATTCAGTAATATGGTAAAATAGTGAAGTGACAGCATGCCAGAATTCGTTTTTTGGATAAAGATAAGATCTAAGAATTGTGAAGACGCAGTGGTAATTGGCATTCTTCATATATTTGACACATACACATATTCAGGGAAGCTCCAGGGATGGAACAGATAAGTCAGATATTGAGATAAAATTTTATTGTGACAGGCGTAAACTAGCCCATGTAATTTTTTTTAAGTGCTGTATTTATCCAACACATAAGGTGGAACTAATACAATGATTTCTTCTCAAACAACCATTCTGTGAATATCTATGTACTTTAAACTACTTTCCAAATACATCCTGTATGCGATTTGTTACACACAGAAATTACAGCTCTGCAAGTGAATATGGTTTTGTACATATTGTGATACATTTCTCCTGAACGTGTTTTTGCAATGTCCAGTTGATATTCTACTGGGAACCTTCCTTTTTGTCTTGATATTTCTTCCAGTCTGGCCTCGAAATCAGCATAGACAGATCTTTGGCTGAAGGAGATATTGCACAAGCCGAGGAACTAAGTGATAGATTAGCTACTCGAGAGGTAGGTTGAGCTTTTTCGAATATCTTCACACAAGTCTTATAATGTGGATTAAAATATGGTTATGGGATTGTTTCTGTTTCCTAATCCTTTACTTCTTTTTAGGCAGCCCTTTTTTCAGCTATGGTATATGGGGGAAGGGGATCCTTTGAGAAATGTTATGAATATAGAATGTTTTTGGGACAGACATGACCCTGAAGTCATTCAGGGGTAAAATAAACCATGGAAACCATCTCTGTGGGACTTAACAGTTATTTTTATGTGACAGCAGGTCCCCACGCCTGTTGTTGCTGCTATTACATTTTAAAACTCCTCCTCCAGGGGGCTCAGGACAGCATACATGGTTCTCTCCCTTCCACCAACCATTTTATACCCACAGCAACTGTGCATAGCTGAGAGATGGTGAAAGACCCTGAGTCACCCAGTGAACTCTATGGCTGAGTAGCGGGGTTTGAACCCAGGCCTCCACACTGCTAGTTCAAAATTTCACGTGCCTTTGAATAAATTGCTGTTAATACTCAAAGAGAAGGATTAAAAAGTATGGCATGTGGTATGGGAGCTGCCATTAGGAAGTGTAGGGAGGACAATACCACTGACCTGTACATAAAGGCCGGTTGATGCACCAGTCCTGAAACACCTACATTGGCTCCCAGTATGTTTCCGAGCACAATTCAAAGTGTTGGTGCTGACCTTTAAAGCCCTAAACGGCCTCGGCCCAGTATACCTGAAAGAGCATCTCCACCCCCATTGTTCAGCCCAGACACTGAGATCCAGCTCCGAGGGCCTTCTGGCAGTTCCCTCACAGCGAGACGTAATTTTACAGGGAACCAGGCAGCGGGCCTTCTCGGTAGTGGTGCCTGTTCTGTGGAACACCCTCCCACCAGATATCAAGGAAATAAACAACTATCTTGGAAATAAAAAACTATCTGACTTCAAGAAGACATCTGAAGGCAGCCCTGTTTAAGGAAGTTTTAAATGTTTGATATTTTATTGTGTTTTTATTATCCTGTTGGAAGCCGCCCAGAGTAGCTGGGGAGGCCCGTCCAGATGGGCGGGGTATAAGCAAAGCTTTTTCTTTTTGGTATTGATTCAGGGTGCAAATGTGTGGTTTCTATAATGGTCTTACATGGGATGAAGAATGTTCATAGGTTTAGAAAAAGAAAGATCAGTTCAGCTGTTGACAAGCTATTTTTTCTGTGTGCAAGGAGCATTTTTAGAGGAGACCATTTAGGGCCCCATCGGTGACCTGGTGTGATGTGGTCCAGAAAAAGCTTTACTGTTTAATGCTATTCATTTTATAAAACTGATCCTAGTTTGCTGCATTTTTATTGCAATTAATATCTTAGTAAAGGTAAAGGTACCCCTGCCCGTACGGGCCAGTCTTGACAGACTCTAGGGTTGTGCGCCCATCTCACTCAAGAGGCCGGGGGCCAGCGCTGTCCGGAGACACTTCCGGGTCACGTGGCCAGCGTGACATCGCTGCTCTGGCGAGCCAGAGCCACACACGGAAAAGCCGTTTACCTTCCCGCTAGTAAGCGGTCCCTATTTATCTACTTGCACCCGGGAGTGCTTTCGAACTACTAGGTTGGCAGGCGCTGGGACCGAACAACGGGAGCACACCCCGCCGCGGGGATTCGAACCGCCGACCTTTCGATCGGCAAGCCCTAGGCACTGAGGCTTTTACCCACAGCGCCACCCGCGTCCCAAATTAATATCTTACACCTTAGCAAATAATTGTATGTTTTAAAGCTTATGGCAACCATTCACAAAAAGGTTAAACTCAATTAAGCTGCTTTAAAATGAGTGGAACCTAAGCAATTTCTCCAATTGCCCCCTTTGTGAAGAAGAAACATGGCCAGTGCTGTAACACATGCTCTTGCTTCCCCATAATAATGTGTAGCAACATGTTTCAAGTTGGGATTCTATTTCTGGACATCAATGTGTGAGAGAGATAAAAAAAAAATAGTTTGAGGGCTTAGCTTAAAACAACACTATATATTAAACTTGTGCTATGAGCTCCTTTCCTCAGGGAAGCTTGCCTTTCTTTCCATTTTTTAAAAAATAATTCTGTAGTTATGAGAATACATAAGAGTTATGTTGGATCAGATCGGCATTCTGTTCCCACAATGACTAACCAGATGTCTAGGGAAAACAAACAGGACCTGCACTGGAGGTAATTCTAAAAAGACAATAGAAACAGCACCTGATAAGTAATGGGAGGACATTTGAAAGGGTAGGCGCCACCATGTGAAACCCTCAATTCTGACATCGTGCAGAGCAGACCTTATGAGATGGTATCTGCAGGATGTCTTCTACAGAACACAGTGACCTGTGTATCCTGGACCTAAGATGTAGATGATGTTGTACACTATTACCAGCACCTTGAATTTAGCCTGGTAGCTAATTGAGAGGCAGTGCAACTATTTCAGCAGCTGTCTATCATGGTGATATTCTGGACAGTGAGCAGCCAAGCAGACACATACGTATTTGTACTAGCTGTAGCTTGCAGGTCAACTTCAAGGTTACCAGCACATGGAAAAACAGTGGGCATGCTATCCCAGTCCATAAACAACCATGACTGCTTTACCACCTAAAGCTGGCACAAGGAACTTCCAGCCACTGAGGTCACCTGGGTGAATAGTAACAGGTGGATCCAGGAACATCATCACAGCATGTATCTGCTCCTTCAGGGGGAATATGACCCCATCCAAAGCAGGTGGTTGACCAGTTATCCAGGCTTGGGAACTGTTTGCCCACAGTGCCACCATCCTGCTAGGATTCAGTCAGTTAGTTAGCTTTCATCCAACCCACCACTGAGTCCAGGCACTGGTCTAGCTCTCACATGGTATTTCCTAATTCAGATGTTACAAAGAAATAGAGCTGGGTATAATCAGACTAATAATACTTCACCCCAGAAGTTACAGCTGGCTCACATTTAGTGCTTGTCTCTTGGAGTTTGTTCAGTAAAAGGAACTTACCTTTCACTACTGGGTTTACTGAGCTTGTGCGTTGATGTGTAAAGAGCTAGTTCTTCTTTCCTTACCATACACCAAAGTTCCTAAATTTTAGAAATATACTCATTTGTCCTTAATATGTCCTTAATATGTGAAATTAAGGGCATTTGACTATATTTATTTCACACTAAGTTCACCATAGAAACAGATACTATAGGTGCCATTGACAAAGGGTAACTTAAAACTAGAAGATATCATCCATTTTTATTTTCACACTAAATGAAAACTTGGGCTGACCTGTATTTGTGGGTACAGCTGTTTAACAGTGTGATGGAATACGTGTTCAATGGATGAGTGTTCTTTGGAAATCAGGTGTATAGGTTTTTAATCAGTGGTATTTTCTTTTTCAAGAAGCAGTAACTGGAACCTGCTGATAAAGCCTTTGCTTTGAGGCACAGATCCCAGAGTCCTTAAAGCTGTTTCCTCCCTTAATAAGTGAAACTAATTTTTGATGTATAACATTTATAAGCCTGTGAAACTGATAGAACAGCATCAGTATTGGGGGGGAGGAGGAGAGCCAAAAATAAAAAAGATGGCTAAGAAGAGGCTATGAAAACATGCTTTTAAAAGCTAGGGAATGCCAAAACATAGTCGTCTATCATTCTCTCACAGAGAGAACCAATTTTTATAGAATGGGGTTGCCTCAAATAAAAAAGGGATGTAAAGAATGTACATAATCTAGAGCCAGGCAGTGTAGAATGAGCAATATATATATTTGAGATATGGGCAATTATTTGGCTCTCTGCAATGGGGCACTTGTTGCAGTTGTATTTGGGTGCAGGCAGTTATGCTGTGGTACTGCTCTATTGCTTTTCAGGTGTTCTGTTGATGTAATAGAGTGTGTCAAGAAATGGTTTGATATCCACAGGGATGTGGGTATCTGCCTGCAGACACTTGGAAGAGTCTTAACTGTAAACTGTAAACTTCTCTCGGGACCTTCTGGTATCATCTTGAATTGTCTTGCTAATTTCTATTTCTCCCTGAGATTATAGGATCACGGTGGACTTGGTTAGACTATCTGGTACACAGGCAGCAACCATTTTAGGCACGTCAAATTTATGCCCAATCACTGATGCATGAGTCCTTTTGGGACCAGATGAGAGGTGGCAGAACGGTGTGGGGCATCCTTGTATATGCTCTGCTGTCACCTGTGGGGGCCTGGGACAGAACTGCCACGTGAAATAACCGCCACCTGCAGTGTTGTCAGTGCCTAGTTATAACATGGATTATATTGTATAAGACTTGATTGCACCTGTTTGTGCTGGTAGAAATTTCAGTCATGTTCACAAAGCAAGGGGGCAAGATTACTGTCAGATTCATTGATGTTTCCATGTATGCCTCCAACATCAATAGAATGAAATGGTGGTAGCAGTTAATGAGGGACTTCATCAACTGCTGTTCAAAAATCTTGGTATATAATTCCTACTAGCTTGTCCCTGTTCTCATGTTTGATGGCACTCTCAAAGAACTCTAAATGGTTGGTGAAACAAGACCCTTTGGAGAATCCATTCTGATTGTTCCACATTAAGGCTTGTTCTTCTATATATTTGAAGATTCTAGCTTTAGTAATGCTTTCCACCAGTTTACGTGAGACAGAGTCAGAAATAGTTCTCTGCGTAAAATTATCAGGTTTCCTTCATGATCAATATATTGTGAAACAGTTTCTTAAAATCCCTTACTTAAATCATAAAACAATATTCTTCAAATGTAATATGCAGGAATTTCCCCTTGAGGGTCAAGATGCACATGGTTCAGAGAACTGAGCTGGCAATGTAATTTTAATTGTTAATATTTTGTGAAAGTTGTGGGTTGTAGCCAGAAAGTCATATTCAGAGTAATAAAAATAAATGGACTTAGGTGTATTGAATACAGTGGGTCTAATCTTGAGTATGACTTAGTTGGATGCAACCCAGTAGGCTTAAAACTTTGCTTTGATTTCATGTGCTATTCTTGTTTATAATGGCTTGGACTATGCTCACACAGCATGAA